GCACGCGTAGAGTTTTACCCGGCCGAGCAGGATAACAAACGTCGTCGTCTTCCACCGGAGACGCTACCCGTACGACGACGTATCTCCTCTTCATCTACTTGCCATATTTCCTCATTTCGGTAATTAATATCCGGCCATAAACGTCACAGGTGAGGTGAGCTCTCCCTTTGCACTCTCTCTCTCTCTCTCTCTCTGGGTAGTAGTCATACTACAGCTCCCAAGAAAACCTCGCGAAAATGGAAATCAATAAAATCGTGTCTTTCTGTCTCTCTCTTCTTTTTGTATGAAACTCAACCAGCAAACGAGTATAAAATTATATTTGAGACGAAGTAAACAGAAAAGAGAATTCACCCTAAAACCCACTTAATAAATCTCTCTCTCTCTCTCTGGGATTCTATTCTTCTCTTGACTACTGTTGTAATCGGTACGTTTTCCCATCTTTGCTTCTCCTTTCTACCAACGAATCATGTCGAGGCTAGGGTTAGGGTTTATGATTCTGCTGGTGCCGGTACTTATCGGATTTTATCTTCGAAACTACTCTAGTATTGATCTGACTGGGTTTTTCACTCTTCGCTTTTCGCTTTTGATGATTTCTATGGGGTTTTTTGGCATTTTGGGCAGTTTAGTTCACTTTATGCTTCCTCGGAAGCGAGGAGTTAACAAAGCATTTCTCGTAGAAGATAACAACAGCAACAACAACATCGCATCTGCCTCGTCCATCAAGAAGCACCGGATTGAAAGTTGCATCTCCTCTTCTGCCACCGGATCAACGTCTAATAACTGTCTAGTCGTCGATAACAGCTACCCCAGCAACGGAAACAGCAAAAACAGTACCCATAGCAGCAGCGTAGTTGATACGCAGTCGATCATGGCTTTAGGGGACTCGAATCATCACGATATAGATGAGGATCTGCACAGCCGACAGCTCGCCGTGTACGGTCGCGAGACTATGAGGCGGCTTTTCGCGTCCAATATTCTTATCTCGGGGATGCAGGGTCTTGGCGCTGAGATTGGTATCTACTTTTGCAAGCTTGTTCTTTTTGCTTTTGATTGTTCAGTCTGATGCTTGGTAATGGTTTTTTTTTTTTTTTTGAAAAGTCGGTAAAAGGGTTTTTGGCGTTGGATTATGTATATCATTTTTCCTATGTTTCTAAATTTTGTTTTAGTTTTCAATTAGTCTTTGTTTCAGTGGGTATCGTTATTCTTATCTAACCTAGCTCTCGTTAACCCTTAAGGAAATGATACGTATATATTTGCCCTTCTAGGATATGCTTGATCTGTATCTGTTGGATTTGGATTTTTTTGGGTGCTTAAGTGATGCACATCTTATTGAGACGAGCGAGTGATCATCAAATATTAGCATGATAATAGGCTTTCTGTTATGGCATAATACTAGGTATTGCTATAGTAAATAATGATGCTATTGTAGAAACTATTATTATGATAACAAGAAAAAAGATATGTTATTTAATGTTTAATGACGGCTAATGTTGCTCATATTTTCTTTTTCTTCGTCTTAAGTTGTGAATTCATTTTTGCAGCAAAGAACCTTGTTCTTGCCGGTGTCAAGTCTGTGACCTTGCATGATGAAGGTGTGGTGGAGTTGTGGGATCTGTCTAGTAATTTTGTTTTCTCGGAGGACGATGTTGGTAAAAATAGGGCACTTGCATCTGTTCAGAAGTTACAAGAGCTTAACAATGCTGTCGTCATCTCTACTCTGACAACAAAATTGACCAAAGAACAGCTTTCTGGTTTCCAGGTACTTCAAGTGTCTTGTCCTCTACAATTCCAGTATAGCATATGAATCGCAATTACCAAACGTTACTGTGGCCTGTGGGTGGATGTCTTGTTTTCTTGCCGATTTGCATTCCCTCTAGTGTGGCCCTTGCATTTTCCATGTTTAGTCTCGAGAGATGCATCCTCATTTGATAAACTAAATCTGAAGTGGACCTCATGCAAAAATTTGACAAACTTTGGGAGTGCAGGTGTGAATATCCAATAGGAATCAAGTTCGTGTTAAACTCATATCCAGGAGGGGCTTGATTGTATATCAATGAGTTTATATTGACTTACCATCTTGATAATAGGGAAGTGTAATAATACTCATATGGACATTTAGAGGCATATATGTCAAGATCCAATAGGAGTCAAGTTTTTATTGAACTCATGCCCAGGAAGGACTTGGATTGTACGTCAATGAGTTAATGTTGACTTACCATCTTGAAAATGGGATAGTGTGATTAGTACTCGCAATTTAGAGGCATATATTTTTTGTAATAGAATACCTGATGCGATAATATATAACGTTTTCATCTTTCCTAGAAAGCTGAAAAAAGATATGCATCCATATCCGTTGACGTCTTGCCTTGCTGAAAGACTATTTTGACTCTACCCTTTCCCTCTTTTACGGAAGAAAATGATGGAAATGGTAGAAAGCCACCTAGTATCTAATATAAAGTATAACTTATTATCCTGTAGAGCTTAAGTTCCCAGATTTTATCTCTCAAAAAAGGAAATAAAGTTTCCGGAACTTTTGTTGGACGATAGACAACTTAAGTTTGATCACGATTCTAAGATTCGAATTTTAAGTGCCAAAATATACTAATAAAATCTCATGCTAGTTTTTTTAATTGGTTCCTTTTGGGAATAACATATTAAATGTGCTATTTCTTTGACATGAATCTTGCACCATTTTTTGTGCATGTGCTTGCGTTTTTTCTCACAAGTTTCTTATGTACTTTGCTCAAATTATGCACTATGCAGGCTGTTGTATTTACTGAAATCAATTTTGATAAAGCCATTGAGTTTAATGACTACTGCCACAGTCACCAACCTCCCATTGCCTTCATTAAGGCTGAAGTTAGAGGCCTTTTTGGATCTGTTTTTTGTGACTTCGGACCTGAGTTTACAGTTTTTGATGTTGATGGAGAGGAACCACACACAGGCATAATTGCTTCCATAAGCAATGACAATCCAGCACTGATATCATGTGTTGATGATGAAAGGCTTGAGTTTCAGGATGGGGATCTTGTAGTGTTCTCTGAAGTTCATGGAATGACAGAGCTTAATGATGGAAAGCCGAGGAAGGTTAAAACTGCAAGGCCGTTTTCCTTCACTCTTGAGGAGGATACCACAAATTTTGGTACCTATATGAAGGGTGGTATTGTCACGCAAGTGAAGCAGCCCAAAGTGTTGAATTTTAAGCCATTCAGAGAAGCAATCAAAGAACCAGGTGATTTCCTTTTGAGTGATTTCTCAAAGTTTGATCGCCCACCTCTCCTGCACCTAGCATTCCAAGCACTGGATGAATTTCTGTCTGAATTGGGTCGCTTCCCAGTTGCTGGTTCAGAAGAGGATGCAAACAAACTTATAATTATTGCCACTAAAATTAATGAGAGCTTGGGTGATGGGGGGGTAGAAGATGTTAATCCTAAAATTCTGCGCCACTTTGCTTTTGGAGCCAGGGCTGTACTGAACCCCATGGCTGCTATGTTTGGTGGTATCGTGGGTCAAGAGGTTGTCAAAGCATGCTCGGGGAAATTCCATCCTCTTTTCCAGGTTAGGATCTGTTTTGTTTCAGATGATGCTATATAATTCTGTAATAGCTGTCTTTACTAGCCAAATTTGTATCTAGTTGATCCATCTTTGAGAGAGAGTTTATACTGTGCATGCGCTTGTCTGTCCCTCTCTCACTCAAGCATCGGGCATGCTTACTCTTATAAGGACATGTTTAAATGCAGATGATCCTATTGAATACAACTGTTGAAATTTTTTGCCACCTATTAATGTGAAAGTTCCCTTCTGAGCCGAAGCTATTTAATTTTGATTTCATTTTCTGGTAATCTAAGATTGTATCACTTGTTCTCTGTAGTTCTTTTATTTCGATTCAGTGGAGTCACTTCCTACAGAGCCAGTGGATGCCAGTGATTTTAGACCATTAAACAGCCGCTATGATGCACAAATTTCTGTGTTTGGCTCTAAGCTACAGAAGAAGCTGGAAGATGCTAAAGTATTCATGGTAGGATCTGGTGCACTTGGCTGTGAGTTCTTAAAGAATATTGCTTTGATGGGAGTTTCATGTCGCAACCAAGGAAAGCTAATTATCACCGATGATGATGTAATTGAGAAGAGTAATCTTAGTAGGCAGTTTCTCTTTCGTGATTGGAATATAGGGCAGGCAAAATCCACAGTTGCTGCTTCCGCCGCTTCATCTATTAATCCTCGTCTTCATGTCGAGGCTTTGCAGAATCGTGTGGGACCTGAAACTGAGAATATATTTGACGATACATTCTGGGAGAATTTAACAGTTATAATTAATGCATTAGATAATGTCAATGCCAGGCTATATGTTGATCAGAGATGCTTATATTTCCAGAAGCCACTTCTTGAGTCGGGAACCCTTGGTGCTAAATGCAACACGCAGATGGTCATTCCACACCTGACAGAAAACTATGGGGCCTCAAGGGATCCACCTGAGAAACAAGCCCCTATGTGCACGGTGCATTCATTCCCGCACAATATTGACCACTGCTTGACCTGGGCTCGATCAGAATTTGAGGGTTTGCTTGAGAAAACTCCTGCTGAAGTTAATGCCTATCTTTCTAATCCAGTTGAATACACAACTGCAATGGCCAATGCTGGTGATGCTCAAGCTAGGGATAACTTGGAACGCATTCTTGAGTGTCTTGACAAAGACAAATGTGATACATTCCAGGATTGTATGACGTGGGCTAGATTGAGGTATTTCTTTTTATGGTAATCCTAATATTATGTTTTGATTGAGTCAATATTTAATTGAGGCTTTATTATCAGGTTCGAAGATTATTTTGTTAACCGTGTGAAGCAGTTGATTTTTACATTTCCTGAAGATGCTGCAACCAGTACAGGGGCTCCATTCTGGTCAGCCCCAAAGCGATTCCCTCATCCACTTCAGTTCTCAGCTGCTGATACCAGTCACCTCAATTTTGTTATGGCAGCATCTATCCTACGGGCAGAGACATTTGGAATCCCTGTTCCTGATTGGGTTAAGCACCCCAAGAGATTAGTTGAGGCAGTTGAAAAGGTGATGGTTCCAGAATTTCAGCCAAAGAAAGGTGTGAAAATTGTTACTGATGAGAAGGATACTAGTCTGACTACTGCATCGGTGGATGATGCAGCAGTTATCAATGAATTAATCAGGAACTTAGAGCAATATAGGCAGAACCTGTCTCCAGATTTCAGAATGAAACCCATTCAGTTTGAAAAGGTCAGTATCTTTTGTTGATTGTTTGATTCATTCAGATGCCTGTACAGTTGAGGACCTAATTTGTTGTATGCTAATTGTTGGAACTGTATTGATAGGTTGAATTTGGTAGTGTCCAGGGCTCTAGCTGATAGTAATGATGAAAATTCCTGTATCTTGGTCAACTAAATTCTATTTCAAACTGCAGGATGATGATACCAACTACCATATGGATATGATAGCTGGTCTTGCCAACATGAGGGCAAGGAACTATAGCATTCCTGAGGTCGATAAGCTGAAAGCCAAGTTCATTGCTGGAAGAATTATCCCTGCCATTGCCACTTCAACAGCTATGGCCACAGGTCTTGTGTGTCTGGAACTGTACAAGGTTTTGGATGGAGGACACAAACTGGAGGACTATCGCAACACTTTTGCTAACTTGGCGCTCCCTCTCTTCTCCATGGCTGAGCCAGTTCCACCAAAGGTGATCAAGCATCAAGACATGAGGTGGACAGTATGGGACAGATGGATCCTGAAAAATAATCCCACTCTAAGGGAGCTACTCAGGTGGCTTGAGGACAAGGGATTGAATGCCTACAGCATATCCTGTGGAAGTTGCCTTCTGTATAATAGCATGTTTCCTCGTCACAGAGAGCGAATGGACAAGAAGTTGGTTGATTTAGCTCGGGAAGTGGCCAAGGTAGATCTGCCTCCATATCGTCGCCATCTGGATGTTGTAGTTGCGTGTGAGGATGAGGAGGACAACGACGTAGACATTCCTCAGATATCCATTTACTTCCGTTGAGGTTTTTTCTCAAATCTGTTGTATCCAGTCAGGCTGTGACCCTAGTTCAGAACTCTTTTCATCAACAATAGCCTTTACATCTGGTGGTTACCAAACACTAGAGAAAATTGTATTTTCATCCGCAAAAGTTTCACTTCACTTATATGATTTAAAAGCTGATTGTATTTACCCAGTGTTACCAACCTTTGTTTAGCTTATTCACTCTTTGATTGCGCTCTTATTTGTTGTCAATGTGATGCATTTTCAATTTTTATTTGTATTTTTTCAAATTGTGATGCTTTGGTTTTATGACGTTTGTTTGATTTTTCAATTGCATATAAACCCTTGAATTGATTTGATAAACAAACGATTACTGTTTACCTGGTGTCCAAGAATCAGACTATGTTTCTTTGTTCTAAATCAAGTTCATCATCTAAAAATCAGAGAAATTTAATTGTAGCAATATGCTTGTTCCAGATCATATCAAATTAATCTCTTAAAAAATTGTGACTCAAGCAATGTCGTACTAATTAAATTATTTAAATATTTTGTTCCTTTTAGCATTATATGAAACACATACCCTCTGCGGTAAATGAAAATTTGGCCATGCGGCTGACATGCATAAAGGAAATAGAATCAAATATTGGATAGATAGACATTGAACTTTTAATATGTTCAATTTTAAAACAATGTATCAATATATGTTAAGCTTCTGTTTCAAAAATATATATTATTTATATGTATATGTATATGTTAACCTAATATGTCCTCAGAATTGAAAATTGAAAATGCACGGTGTAATTTGATCCAAATGGAACACTAGAAGAGTTTTAGAATCAAGCCCCTGTTATTTGTTACAAACCAAGTCCTTCATCAACATTGAAGGAGACAAAAAGATCCTAAAATCTCTATCAAAAGCTATGATTTCCACCTAATTACATCTATGAGAAAAGTTTATGAAGCTCCATTTTTCTAATTCTAAATGGAAAGACCAGCTTTGATCTCAGAAAATTGTACATGATTTCTTTAATTCAATTTTTGTCAGCACCTTCATCAAATTCACCAGAGACCACAACACGAAAATCTAGTTGTTTCTGATGCTTTGACCGGCGCCGTTTATCAAAGTCTTCCCATCCTTCAAACTGTAACAAGAACATTTCTATGTCGTATCCTTCAAAACGGCACAAACAGCCAAAAAGCTAAGCTTTACAAGGTGGCATAGAGGTAAAAGTACCTGGCGAAGGATATCACTCGTGATTTCTGTATTATGGAGATCGAGTGTTGAAAGCTCAAGGCACGTCTTGAATAATGATGAAGGAAGGGACAATAGCCCATTGTTACTCAAGTACAAAGCCTGCAAAGCAGTACAAATCATAGCTGTAAACGTGTCACAGGACTCATGAGCAAAATCTAGTCTAGCAAAGTGTTCAAAGTATAAAAGCATGGTAGTCCTTTAGAGTGCAGGATTGGTATAGCCAACTCTAGCTAAGTAGTGGCAACATAAAGGGATTTGGTAGAAAATCAGTATAACCAAGATAAGAGTATGCACCTTCAAATTGCGCAAATTGCCAAATTCCTCTGGCAAAACTGATAGAAGATTTGATGAAAGATCAACCTGTAACACGAGTAATGATCCAAGTTTCCAACACTTTATGAAGGCTCTTTCATATATAAGGGAAAAATTCCTTTAATATGCCGCATAATGGCCAAATATATACCTTACTGAGAAAGATAAAGAAAGAGAAACATGGAGAATCTTACCTCAATGAGAGAAGTACAATTGCCCATGGATGACGGGATAGTGGTTATCCTAAGCCAGAGAAACAAGTAGACATCAATCAAGACAAGACATATTTTACAGGATACAAGCTCATGAAATGCATATCCAACTTAAATGAAACATGTTCCTTTCAGAATATTTTATAACATCTTTAAAGCCAATATCTGAAAACTGATGAGGATGGTATAAAATTACAAATATGAAAAATCTGGTGCTTATCTAAAATACAAGACGGAAGAAACTCAAACAGAGCAATAAAACCTGCTTTATTGGCTAATAAAAGGAAGAGGAAGTCCTTAACCCACAATTTCGAGTTCAGGCATTACCTATTATTATTTGCTTTCAGAACTTCAAGCTGACTGAGGAGTCCTATTTCAATTGGGAGGCTTGTCAACTTGTTATTAGAAATATGAAGTTGCCTCAGAGAATCCAAAGCACCGAGTTCACAAGGCAAAGTTATCAAACTGCATAAAACATTTAATTCATAATGATTTGGTTCTTAATGATTGCAGATGCAACAAACTTAAAAATGCATCTCATGGATCAGAGTAAGTTTACCTGTTCTTGAGCTAAACTACGAGTACTGACTAAAGGCAAGTGACACTTTAACTTATTACCAGTAATCCCAGCTACACTATACCTTTCATAAAGATCATATGGATGGCTGAGGGTGAGGGCATTCAAGGAAAGAAACATGATCCAATCTATAAAAGAAATGCAGACACTTCCATAGATAAACAACAGAAGAGATAATTATCCCATCTTACGGCAAAACGTGTCTTCTAATTGACAATCATATTTTGCTTAAACTTGACAAGGAAGCTCCGACTCACTAACAAAATTTTCCTTCTTCCTGCCTCTTGCAATTCATAACTGACATAAACATGTGCGATTTGTGGGGTAGATGACACTTTCTCCTTTGGGTTTTAATCAAGATAACTGAATATCAAAAAATTCTACCACTTCTTTTTTTTTCTTGAGAAGAGGAATCGTACTGCATTAATTATAATCATATGTTGGCGTTAGGTAACTAGGAGATACAGTTACATACATATGTCATGACCTTTGCTGACAGTCAATAAACCACATAAACTGCAAGATTAAGGACAGAAGCTACTTACCTGTTCTGGCAAACAGATAGAACTGTTAGAAACTTCAGAGATGCCAGTCCTTCCCAATGAATGGATTTGTCCAACAAAGCATTTGCATTCAGGAGCAATTTCTACAGATGGACTCAGAGGTTATCGAAAGGCCTTGTTCTGGTAAATCAATAAAATACCATAATAAGGAAATGTTCTGCTTACCTGCATGGAACTCAGATTGCTGATCTGGGCTGGAACATGTTGAATGGAGTTGTTGCTCATATCCAGAACTCTTGCAGAAGATCCACAAGCCCACACCTCATCTGGTATAGCCTTTTGAGTTCCAAGCAACAAGGATGATTGGAAGCAGTTAGATTCAGATCACTGGCATAGCCCCACAAAAAGAAAAGATGAAAATTCTTTTTCATGTTTTCACTTTTCTCACCATGCTCACTGTTTTTATCATCCCTGTGGGACTAAACCTTAGTTTTACTTTTAAAAAGTTGCTTCTAAAGGTAAATTTTAAGGGGAAAGGGAAAGTGATCTTCTTTGTTATTGTCTTATCTACCACCTTCCAAAATTTTGAATGATTATTACATCAAGTTTTTCTCTCCAAGGCAAAAACAATATCAAAAGAAATATAGCCTCATTAGGTATAACCATAGCACTACAGAACAAAGCCACACTGAATATATTTCATCCAGAGCATACAAGGTTCTCCAAATTCTCGAACAGCAAAGTCAACCCAATATAAAAATGGAGGGGGTTGAGAATCAAAAGATAACCCATTAAGAAAATAGTTAATTCACGGTAACTCATATGAGAATAAGGTAACTCATCAAGAAAATAGACTGCATAGGATTGAAAATAAAGGTTTCTTATACCTTCAGGTCGCATCCTGCAAGTCCAATAACTCCAGTAACCTTCCACCGTTCTAAGCGATTCTTGTCAATGGGAACTACTTCCAACTTATCCGCTGGCTTCCTAGCATCCCTTGAAATAGGCTTTGTCTGAGCATCTTTTAGTATGGGACCATCCTGGACATTTAACCCCATGAACTTTCTTTAGAAGAATACCTAACCCAAGACAAACTAAGCCAGTTATTTATCTTTAATTCCTTCTGCTGCATTTCTTCAAACAGGGAAGAAAAAAGAAAGAGTTTCCAATTTCTTATACATCTTCATGTGGCTTTGATCAAATTCCAAAAGAAAGAAATTTACAATTGAAACGCTGAATTAATTTTAAGTTTATTCTATTACTATTCAATTCTCAAATTTAAACTATTTAATATGTATAACTTAGTCATAATTTATATATTTTATGCATAAGTAAACCAATGTCTCTTATATCTTCAACTTCAGGATAATGAATTTATATTCTTACTTAGAACAACTAAACTGAATAGATTTCAGATTGACTTAGAACCATAAGCTGTTTTCATTCAAATTTTTATTGTATTTCTACTGCATTCTCATCTACATTATAATATTTGTTGTAGTTGTATTCTTATTTGTATTATGAATGACTGAAATTTAAAACAAAGTAGATCATTTTATAGAAGGAGAAACATAGTGCAAACTGCAAAATCTCAGTAGATAAATTCAGGAGAAATAAATGATACTCAAAGAGAAAGTGACACATTTCTCTCTCTTCGATCAGCTTGCAAAGAAACTTAAATCCAAGTTGGAATCGCAATCAACTTATATTTCTTGAAGGTAAAGCTCTTGCAGACACAGTCAGTTCTCACAGTCACTTGTATATAGAGATATATACAGCGGATCGATCTCTTAGGAATAAAAGAAAAAAGGATATTCAACATCCTAGTAGTAATCATTACATGCAGATAAAAAAAAAAAAGAACAAGACACAAAGCGAGAGAGAGAGAGAGAGAGAGCGAGAACTGGGCAATGATAAAGATACCCCTTGATGAAGACCCTTAGATGCTATGAGCATGATCTTAGCCCCATTGCCGATCTCCGATTCCTTCAAAGTCATTGGGTCCACCAAAAGCTTCCCTTTTCATCACCAAGGAGAAAAAAAACAAAACAAAACCCATAATCAAATTACACTAAAAACTAATACGAAATTCTGCTACTTCAATTGCAATTTTTTCAAAGAACTGAAGAAGTAAGACGATTAACACCTTTGTAGATGAGCCTTTGGCCACGAGGAAGAACATCCGTGAGGGGTTGGAGAGTAGTCTTGAGAACTTTGACCGTTGTGTCTGGTGACAGAGAAATGGGTATCGAGCTTCCACCGAACTTGACGAAGATGTCAATGGTGGATTGAGGATTGCTACCTGCACCGGTGGATGCGTCACCCATTTTCCCCCTTCGCCAAGCTTTCCTTCCGCTGTTTCGCTCTGTTTTTAATCGGTAGGGGAATAATAAATAAACGACGTGTTATATATATATCTATATATATTTTTTATATTTTGGTTAATTTTTATAATTAAGATAAATGACAAATATTATTTACAATTACTTTATCCTACAACTTAATATTAAAATTATGTAAAATTAATCACTTAAAATTTTCTTACTTATAAAATCAAATTTAAACTCTCAATGTAAATAACAATTAAATAATTATAAAAAAATTATTTCTTCATATTATAGTTAATATCTATACATTAATTATTTAAATTTAAAACATAAACCTGATTTTAAGAAATTAGTAAAAGTACCTTCCAGCATTGACTTTCTCGCTTCCATTGCCGGACTCTGTTTCCTCATCTGTGAAGCCCGAAACTATTGGTAGTAATAAAAGAAAGGCCCCCCGCGTATCGTTCTCCTTGTCTCCTGTGGCTTCTTGCTCAGCCAATCACCACCATATCTTCCTGTCTGCTTCCTTGAACAACTAATCGCTCTCATCTGCTTTTCATCCTCGCTTTCACGCGCGATACACATCGTGCTTCGTCGTTTCATCTGTTTCTTCTCTCCTACTCTCTCTTCTGCAATGTCTTCACGCCGTGGGTCTGATAGGTGACAAATCGCAAGTCTTAGCGTGCACCACTTCACGGTTCCACCTCCTTCACTTGTCTTCTTCTTCATCCGTGCCAAACACCTCTGTCTATTTCTGTTTCTCTCTTCTTCCTCTGGCAGCTACTATTTCTTACGCTTCACTTTCTTCTTCGGATGCAACGACGGCGAGATTAACTAAAATGAGAGCATCACGCATGATAAATGCCACCGAACCAAATCCTAAGCTCCATTTTTTGATTAATCAAAGGGCATCCCTAAGAGGCACAGATGAACGCTACTGCATATGGC